AAGGGGCTGGGTTGGCGGCCGGGTTAGGCGCTGGATCCCGGCAACAACCCCCCCCATCAACGACACCCCACTACCACCACCACCGCGCCTCCACCGCCTCTCCTGCCGCCCTCTTTCCTCCCGCGGACAGGACGGCCCGGGCGCCAGTCGTTCACCCTCCGGGGGCAGGCTGATCCTCCCCCCGGGAATGCTGCCTGAAGGATGCTGTGGTTCCCGGTAAAGAAGATCCGGAAGCAGTTCAAGCTGCTTCTGCTCCTGGTCCTGCTCACCTTCGCCGTGTGGTTCACCTACCTGCACATCAGCCTGGTGCGCCAAGGCAAGGCGCTGCGCCTCCACTTCGCCTATGGCCGGGGTAAGCTAGCCGCCCAGCGCGTTTGGTGCTTTGCTCCCCCCCCCCTTTGCCTGCTCTTTCGGAGTTACGGGGGAAGGGTTCTCACGTCCAGCGAGATCCTTCTCTGTTTACTTTCCCATCTTCTGCATCAGTCCTGGTCTCCAACCTGTGCAAAAGGTGAGGGTTGCACCTTTGGGGTCACTGGTGTGAAGTAGCACCCCGTCCAGATTTCATTAACAACGATCTTTAATGTTTTAAAGAAGGCCAGATTACATAGGCAAGGAGGAAGGTTGCAGGATGACAGGCTGATGGACCGGTGTGAAGGGGGGACAACAGATGCCTGTTCTGAATAAACAACTTTGAATACAAGCTCCTTGTTTCTTCAGGAGCAACTGCCTGTCCATTTTTGGTTTCTGTATTTTATGCGCACAGTTTGCCAGGTCCAGAAAGTTATTTATCCCTTTCATACTTGCTGTTTCAGAGGTTTCTCTGCCCTGATGGAATATTAATTGGAGCAATCTCAGCAGCCTTCAGATGCTCTCTTCTGTCTGGCAGCTACACATGCTAGTTTCACAGCTGGGCATAAACATTCTTACAGTGAGATTTTACTTCTGCATGAACATGCACAGAGCCACATTTAAGTCTAGTACCAAAGAAAATAATTTGGCTGGTTTTTCTTATTTTTGTGTGATTGCAAGGTGATGCAGTCATTTTGGCATTTAAAAAGGAGCACCTCTTGGGATTGAGGGAGAAGAGGATCTGTTCACCCAACGTTATTTTGCTGGATTTTCATATGCTTAACAGTTTGTTCTTTAACTTCTGAAGAAATGTATGTGTGTGGACATGTACTTCTATTCATAAGCAGAATCTGTGAGTGTTTGAATTGATCACAGTTCAAGGATGGTTGCCAAAACTGTTTGCCAAGCCCTTGATCTCTTAAGGGGCTCACTTCCCCTTTCCCCATTACTCAAAATATATTTTCCTTCGTTCCCTCTTGCTTGCAGATACATACTAGATGCTGTTCAACCCCACTCCAGTCCATATGTTTATTAATAAATAAGCACCAGTGTATTCAGCAGCACTTACTACCAAGTGACAGAATACCTAGGACTGCAGCCTCAGTATTGATGGTCTTGTTCCAGAGACAGAAACACATACAAAAATGCCTCTGTGTGGCTAGCCTGGTTCAGAAGCTCAGGTCAGGTTGTAATTGCCAACAAACTATCCAGGCCTTCCTGGTCTTTAGGCTTTGTGGCAAAGTGTTTGTAGCAGCAGGTCAATATTTTCTTAGAGTCGGGCTGTGTAATTATTTCTGAATCCGAGTGCACAGAGCTCCCACTGTATATCTTGGAGAAAGAATTCCAAAATACACAGAGCATCTGGCTTATTCTAACCTGGTCTGCTGCTGAGTTTTGCACAAATTTTCCTTTAGGAACATAGGAACAGCTTGTTTCTTTTTATCCCACTGAAATCTTGAGAGTGACAGAGGGTGTGGGGACTTGTCTGTTCAATTGATGGAGAAGAAAGGATGCTAGAGTACTGTACCTCCTGCTGTGCTGTCAACTGGCTTGTGCTGCCTAACGTTTTAAATTTTATGTGAACCTGCATGGATCGGCTGGCTAGATAGCTCAAGGTTGGAGTCTGATTCTCCACTGTGCTTCTTACAAGTAAAGCCAGCCTGTGTAGCCTTGGCCAAGCTGCATAGTCCTAGGGCACCCCCAGAAAAAGGAAATGGTAAACCACTTCTGAGTACAGTATTCTCTATCTGGACCCTGAAAAGGGTTGCTGTAAGTCAGAAATGACTTGACAGCACATAATGATCACATTGAAGAAACAGCAGGAGGGGAAGATTAATGGAAAGATTTGGAATGCTCCTTGTATTTGATTTTAAAATGTAGCTTTGGATCTGAACTAGAATGGGAACAGCTCTTGCATATATTTATAGTTACATTTGAGTTTAATAAGTTGTCCATAAATTGCACAGTCAGAAGACAAAGTAACAAATTTGTATTATTTTTATTTGTTTCTGGAATCGCTAAGTCGTATGCAGCAGAGTTAATCTTACACATTCTGATTTTGCATTGTTTAAATGTATAGAACAATACTTTGAAAAACTTTGCATGGAGCTTATGAATCTTTAGAATCGTCCAAAATAGTATGTTAAATGCCGCATAAAAATCAGGAGGATTAGAAACATGCTTTGATTTTTACAATGAAAGCCAAGATTTGTGGCTTTTCACAGAATCTAGCAGAGATGTTGTTTTTAGTTCAAAAGTTGTTCATAACCCCCTTGGAATATAACTGAGATATTAAAATATCTTTGTGCAGAGATCATTAGTATGTTGTGTAACAGAGCGACCTGACATTCAATTTTGTGTCCTTATTGAAGTGGAAAAAGTGGTCTACTCACTACACCTACTCCCAGTACAGTACCTGAAATCTGGGAAAAGAGGGGACAACATATTTGACTGTGGACCATGGGCTATATTATAAGAACAGAATAATTTCACAGAACATAATGGACATTGATTTCAGCATATGACAGGAAATAATCAATGGTTTTGTTTCTCTCTCCCCCCCCACATTGCATTCAGTTCTATTTTAGAAGTTCACTTTATATGAGAAAACAAAGAAAAGGTGAGAGGTCATTTTTACCTTAGAACAGTGGTCAGGGAACAGGGGTAAATTACCCCAAATGGAGTAAAAATGAAAATCCTGGGGGGTCCTCGGCTGCCTGATTGCCCCCTTCTCTGGCCCGGCTGCAACTGAGCCATGGTGGCCGGTGATGGGCCCCGGCCAGTGGCGTAGGGCAGCTGAGGCGGCGGCAGTGGGGCCGGCCATGGCAGAGGGCGAGGATGGGGTGAGCAGCCAGAGCATCCCGGCCAGGAGGAGCCTCTCCTTCCAGTGCCTGGAGAGGTGGGTCGCAGCGGAGGGGGGGTGAGTGTGGTCACGACAGCGTTCCAGGCCAGGCTCAGCACCGGGATGCAGCTGCCCCCATGCCCCATCCTCATTCCCGGAGGAACCCATTGGGTGGCAGTGGTGCTTGCCCGGCCGCGTGGCTTCCTTCGGTGCCACCTACACGTTGGCTGTCTAGGCCTGCCAAAGTCGCTCGCCCTCTGTGTGGCAGCTGTCACAGCACTTTGACGTCGAGGCCCGCGGGAGCCCTGACGCCGAGGCCCAACATGGCCGCCCTGGAGCCACCTGCTGTTCTTCGACGGCTGCCCAGGAGCCACCCACTGGCTGAGAAGGGGAGCCGCCTCCGTGGGGCCAAGAACTAAGCGTGGCCCCACCAGGCGGAGGAGAAGGGGGTGGCAGCCGCCTAGGTTCGGGTGGCAAGGCTTTAGCGGTGGTGCTCAACTGGCCGTGTGAGACCAAGATCCTTCCTTTCAAATGAAGGGGGTAATGTCGGTGTATATAATTTTTTTTTGGGGGGGGGTTGAAGGTAAAAAAGTTCCCTGACCCCCTGCCTTAGAACTATTTTTTTTGTCCAAAAGAAAAGAAAACCTGTGGTAGCTGAATAGGCCAATTCAGTACTAATTTTACATGAATGCTATGCAAGGTTTGAGCCAGTCTGATCAGTAGTTACACTGTTGGGCTGGATTTTGTTAGATCCAAAAACCTGTCCATAAAACCCATGGGTGATCTTAGCCATTCACTCTCATCCTAAACTGCTTCACAGGGCTATTGTAAGGATGAAGTGAAGAAAAGAAGAGGCAGACCAGATCAAGTTTAATACGGCCATAGACCAATATCCAAACATACAAATAACTATACAAAAACAGTGAAACACATATAGAAAAAAAAACATATACGACTAAACAACAAGTTAAAAGCATCCTAACAGAGTAATACATTATACTACCTTAGTCTCCCTTTCAGGTTCCCACTAAAATCAAGTAATTTTTCAAACAAGAGGCATGTATGCTAACTTGCCATAGACCAATATCCAAACATACAAATAACTATACAAAAACAGTGAAACACATATAGAAAAAGAAAAAAAACATATACGACTAAACAACAAGTTAAAAGCATCCTAACAGAGTAATACATTATACTACCTTAGTCTCCCTTTCAGGTTCCCACTAAAATCAAGTAATTTTTCAAACAAGAGGCATGTATGCTAACTTGAGATTATTTTACAAAAAGGTGTACATAAGGCATCTAGTAATGAAATTTTTATCAGGCTAGAAGGTAAAGAAAGCAGAAAGAGGAAGGGTGGCTGCTGTTCAAGCCTGGATTTTATCTTTGCTTACTGTCCCAGGAACGGGGAGGGGGTGATGCACACATTTAAAGCAGCCTCCAGCAAGTTCTCAGAAGGTTTAAGCTACTCAAATGAAAAATATGACTTCAGAGTATTTTATTTAGTTATTTTTTTCCTTCCCACTTAAAGTGGAATTACTTTATATTAACTCCATTGTGATCCAGAGTGGAAAAAAAACTTGTTTGAAATAGTCAGGGGACAACTGCGTGTCTGAAGTTGTATGTTACTCAAAATAAAACTTGCTGTTTTCTTGTTCATGTGCTAAAATGAGGATGTGAATATTTCACAGAACCTCTTTTCCCCCCCTTTGGGGATGGAGTTTGTTAAGCCAAGGAGGATTTTACAGGAGAAATCATAGGTTTAAACACTGAGCTTATTCTTGAGATGAAATAGTTGTTGACATTGTACCAGAATTCCCAACAAACTGTTTGTTGAGCAGCTTAGTGAATGAATGCTTATTAAACTTGCATGCTTTTGTATATAAGATGTTTTGATAACTTTTAACTACTAACAATTCCTTGGCAACCCTGCTCCCTTGCTTGTGTGTAGCTGTGTTAATATAACTGCAAAACTACCTTGTGCTGGTTGTATGAGAGTGAGATTTTTATGATGCCTACCAGTCCTAATCATGTTACATAACTGTTTCATTCATTTAAACATTTTCATAGTGCTGTACTGTCATAGGCACTTAAACTGCAGTCCCTTTGCCAAGTCAACTCTTGGCAAAGGGATTGCAGGAACTCTTTAATTAGTGACA